CTTTTTATCCGCTCCCATACAGTTCAATCCTCGATAAAACCGTTTTCGCGTCACTGTTTAAAAGTGATGGGTATTATGTTTTGAGTAGTACGACATCTGAGCTAAACGAGTCTTGTACACGTAATGTATTCGTGAGCCTCATCAGTGATGCGTCATCACTTTTGTCTTGATTATTGACCTACTTTTATCCTCGATGATTTTGAAGTGGTAAATACATATCAAGGTTAAAAGTTGGTCAACAATAGTCAATAAACAATAATATTTACTATTCTCAGGTTCTTCGTATAGTTATAACCTCTTCGATAGTTATTTATAAGTTGTTGTAGTTGAAAATTATAAGCAGTGGCATAGTCAATGGGGTTTAGGAGCTACAGTCTTTTTTAAAATTTTAGGAAAATTTAAATATGCTTTTAGTATTTTTATGAAAGTTACTGAAAAGTCTAAAATATTATATAGATATTCACAACTTCAGTATACCAAGCTTTCTTTATATTAAAAATGATCAGCCCATATTTCACCCAGAATAAAAATATTGAATACACTACTATTGTAGTGAAATCAAAATAGATTTTATATTCTTTGACAATTATTCAAAATTTATTCATGGACTACCACCACTACCAACACCAGCCCCACCACTATCACCATCGTCCATCATTAATTTTTCTATCTTAGACTCGTACCTTTACCAAATCTTCTTCGACACAACTTTTTAGTTTTTTATTAAATCGATTAAAAACTTTTAATTTATCATCAACAACTTAATAATTAAATGTACTTAAATCATATTTTTCTTACACTAAACTAAAAAAAAAATCAAAATGTATGAAGAATTTTTACGAAGTATGAGTACGCCTGTATACATAATTATGTTAACATGTTTTCGTATTTTTTTTTTTAACCAAAACTCTTTTTTATCAATCAGTTTGATTCTGTTATGAATTCGTTTAAAACCTAAAAGTTTACAATCTACTATATTCTGCTATACGTTGTAGAAATAATAATCGTTGGAAACTATTTATTTTTGAAATATACTTATGTTTTTTAATTGTTTTCTTTTATTAGGAGGTATAACTGTAAATAAATATTTTGGTTCATCAGCCATTGTATCTTCTACGTTCGTGGTAATTATTATACTTTATATTCAGTAGAAAAAACCAAGATCAAATATATTTTGAAGATTACGCTCAACTCGGCGCCGGATAGTGGCTTGTTCCAATATTAAATTTGAAGACAATGATAAATCACCGTCGCGCGTATTCGAAATGTCGAGAAATGATTTCGGGTAAAACTCGGTTATTTTTCGTGATTGCTGACATTTCTTCAAAAATGTTTGACAGCTGTAGTTGTCGATAGTTTTCCTTAATGCTTATATATAACCATTTGAAAGGAAATCGAAAAATGACCTCTTCAAAGTATACCATCTAAACTCGATTTCTGATACATGAAGGTGTTAGACAAAACTTTCGGAACACCTCTTCTATCTAAAAAAAATATCCATAGATAAGTATTAAAAAAACTTCATTTTAAAACCAATACATTTATCACGGCTCACTTCACTTTTGTGTTTTGAGTCTAAAACACTTATATAAAAAGTCGAAATGAATATTCCAAATGAAAGTCGTTGAAAGTAATGACTGTAATACCTGTATTTGTAAATAAAAACAATTTAAACTCAAGTAATAACAAGAAATAATTGTAGGATATATATCATTAAGAAGTATTGATAAACATAACGCTGACATAGATTTTATTAATTTATATTTTATGTACATTTATTAATAATTATTTTAGAAATTTTTTTTATTATTTTAGGAATTCTATGATTTTACAAGTAATTTAAGAGAATTTAATCAAAATTATAGATGTCTCCTGTGGTTATTTTTTTTTATTAAATATTTTAAATGTTGAGATTTTAATATATGTTAAAAGGCTGGTAATAATGTCACTATATTTTCAGGACTATTATTTTTATCTTAAAATTGAACTAATATTTAAATGGTTGGCTGGCAATTATTTTTAAATTATAAAATCATGTTGTTTAACTAATTGAATTATCAAGTATAGAATATGCGGTTGTAGTAATTATTGTGGCTTAGAATCACACACATTTATTAAAATATTAGTTTTTACATTTTAATGAATTTATACTGGAAGTAAACGAGTGAGTAGAAATATTCAAAATGTATTGATTATAATGATGTGGAATGTAGAAGTTAACTATCTTAAAAACTATAATGAATTATAGAAAAATGTTTTCAATTTTTAGTCAAAGTTTTTATTAATTTCCCCTTTTTGGTATTTTAGTTGTATTCATTTAAAATGCGTCAATATGTTAAAAACATTATATTGTCAATTTATCACGTATTATGTATCTAATTAATTAGGGAACCACATGCGCATAGTCCTGTTTTGTACATTTTAATATACAAATGGGTTTTAAATTAATGAAACATTTAAAAATTATAGCTATAAAAATACTAATAAATAATAATAATAATAATACTATAAAAATAGACTCTTATAGTTATCACTTATAATTATTTTCTTTATCAATAGTCAATGCAACTTATACTTTATTATTGAATTCTAGTCTAGAGATAAATTATTAATATAAATAGTTTACAACAAAAGCCTACATTATTTATTATTACGTTTTATATTGATATTCTATAAAATAAATATGAATTTATAATTGTTAATTGTTAATTAATAAAATAAAATGGTTACATACAGATTAATTAGATAAAAATACAAATATTAAGGAAATAAGCAAGTCTTCTTTAATTATTGTAGCATGATTAAATAAGTAGAAAATTACTGTCAAACTATATTGTTGATCAATATATATTAAAATAACTGGAAATTATTGTAAAACCTAGTTTTACCAATTCGATTAGAATAATATAGTTTGTGAAACATCAGTGTCCAAAGGTAAAGATTTCTTTTATCCCAACATTCTATCAATTTTATTCGTTTTAATGTTTTCTATGGGTTTAAAAAGATAACAAAACACTTTCAATGCCTTTATCCATTAAAAGACAATCTAGTTATGATTTTACGTTTTTATAGAAACTTTATGTTCAGTTTATATGATAAGGAAGAAAAAAGAAACAGTATTTTTTATGATAGATACAATAAAGTTGTTTTTCTTAGATTTTCTCATATCAGTAATAAATAAGAATACATAATTCTTTATAATCTAATGTAAAATATGTGTCATTCTACTTATAAAACTGAGTAATTCAAATAGTTTTTTCTTAAACTTTTAGTTGTCAAGAAACCATTAGTCAATGCTAAACGCCCAAACACATATAATTATAATTTATATAATATACGAAAATCAATTTTTAATCTTATAAGTGGTATCAGTTTCTTTAGTTAAATTTTTTATTAGTTTCCTATTTGGTTATGGACTTTTAGTAAAATTCTTTATACAAATAAAACATACTATAGTACTTTTGAATATTTAGATAAGAACATTAAAAACTAGTAACGATGTTTTAGTAGGTACACCAATACCTACTATCCTACTATACATTTACTTTTAGCTATTTTAGACGTACATTTATTTCTATATAATATTATATTTTTATTATTGATATTTTATGCTTTAGTGATTCTATTGCAATCGTTACAATAGTAGTTTTTAACATACACAAAGAAATAAGTTACTATATTTTATTTTAATATGTAAATAAAAATATCAAAAGAATGGTTTCTTTTTCATTTTTAATACAACAAGATTAACAATCCCAAATTCAACTTTATTACATCGAGCTTATATATAAATCATAAGTTTTTTGTTCTTTATACATGTGTATTCATGTCAAATCTTGTATAATAATATTTCATATCATTCACCTGCTCTTAAAACGTCTTGAACTGTGCTTTTTTTCTATGAAATATTCTTTAAAACAAATTCTTCGTTCTCTTATCAATTAATTATAAAATAATAAATAGATACTTGCACAATAAATTGCTCAGTATAGAAACAATCATTATCAGTTCACGTGTAATAGATATGATTACTGTTGTATATATTGGTTATTATAATAATTATGATATTAATTATTTTTTTCATAAAATACTTAAAGGTTTTATTGTTTGTTATAACCTCGCTACCACACCCCTACAAAACTTAACGTTCACAGTCAATAAGAGATCGTACATCGTATTCATCGTAGGTAGTTAATAACTAAAATCAAAGCTAAGATAATTTCCTCAAAATCCAATTATCATATTTGTATTTTTTGACCAATATTAGTTGTCGCGTATTTAAAATTATGTTCTAACGATATCGTTTTGTTATAAAAATTGAATAAATATACAAAAAAGTAGATGTTTAATACCGAAGTAGGTACTTAACTTAAAATAAACTTTTATTAATATTTTAAAATGCCGAAAGATACACTATAGCAACAAGAAGATAACTGTAGTAATAACATAATAATGCATTATAAAATATAATCAAAATACAAACTAACAGATTTTTTATTTTTATTTTTAAATAGTTCACGTATTACTGTATTATACTTAATTAAGTGCAAGATATCGAGATACAAAGAAATATCAATCATACATTTTTAATTTTTAGACTAAAGATGGTCGACAGATTGTTTGGTGGCACAGTGTGTGAAATATAGGCACGGTTGTGGAAATAACAAACTCATGGTGCTTATTAAATTATATCACTCAAATAATTGTACTTACAAAGTCTGATAAATCAATTGAACGTCACCTTGTGCACCATGTTGTAATATACATTTTAGCGACCAAACTCTTTTATATTATAATATACTAGTCAACACATTTTAATTTAAAATAATTCATAAAAAACAGGTGTAATTTAAAGATATAGATAACAATAACCTGCAGGTATATATTATATATTTATATTATACCTATATTCTTTACTTTAATAACATAAAATATTAAAAAAATCTAATCAAAACCCATTACAATATAATATTTATTATTATAAGTTTACAAAACGTAGGAATAATATTATAATTAGTTAATTGTTTTAAAGTTTTCTCTATATAGTTTGGTTTAATATCAGCTAATACATTATTGATTAAATGTTTGAATTCTCTAATATAATATTTTTATTCGATGAATTTTCGACATTTTAAAGTTAACTACTCGTGCACATAAGTTCCATTGCCGGTGGTGGAGGTATGGTATATAGGGACATAGAAGTTAGCGGAGACTTATGAAATATTTTTAAATTTTTCACGACTGGTATTGTGGCGGTAACTGACATTGCGATGAAAAAACATATAACCCAAAATCCATTCTGAAAAATCAAAACGAAATAAAAATAAGTTTATGATTCTTAAGTAGTAAAAAACTCACTAAGGCGTCTAAAGATTGCCTGCAAACTAAATCTCTTCCAATTCGATACACATTCCATACGGGTCTGCACGATGCTGTTTCTGTTTTTACTGCTTCAGTTACATGAATCTTATATTTATCCAACAATAGTTTCAAATTGTTTATGTATTGAGCCATATTCTAAGATAGTACATTTTAAAGTAACAAAACATAATTTATTTTAATTTACCTAACCTAACCTAACCTAACCTTTGCATTGATTGCGTATATTATTATTTTAAATTATATTAAAGCTTCAACTTCATTGGTTTTTAGGCCACTTTATTTTAAAATTATTTATAAGTTATATAAGTTAAATTTTTAAGATAGAATAAAAAATAAATTAAAATATTCGATAAAAGTCTTACAATTTTTGACTTAATTTTAGTGTTAAAAAAAGTGTTAACTGCTGCAGTGTTTTCTGCTTTGAAGGCTTGTTGTATTGAGAACGGGTAATCGAGAATTTGATAGGTTTTTGAGTATTTAGAGTTGGTGATCATTAATGTTATATACGTTACATATTTGTGCTGAATTTTTAGTGATAAAGTGTGCGCGGGTAAGGAGAGTGTATCTTATTCATCCTCGGGTGATGAGTATATAATATTATTATAATAAATTAATTGTTTAATGTTTACTATTATACGATTCATTACTTAAAAGCATTTTCTTTTAATATAATTACTATGATATACCTTTCGCAATATTTGATCAAAATCAGAATTTTCAATTCTAGTATACGCATTTGCCCAAGTCCGGTTTAAAGATTCTGATAGTGGTTGCATTTCAACTTCCATTAATGTTAAATGATAGAGTAACATATTCTGTAATAGAGTTATTCATGGATTTTGGATTTGAAGATAGTCAAAACAAACAAGTTGTTCAATACACTAGTAATATTTCTCACTTTCTTCTGATTCATTGGGTTCAACATATTTTCAACTAAATCCGTAATATTTGTCACTACACGCTTCAATGTCAATTTAAAATTATTGGAGAATGTGGTGGTTTGTGTTGAAAGTGCACCGAGTTGATCGCGTAATAAAGTCACCCGGCCATGAGCCAACGAAGACTGCAAAATCTGTAAAATTAAATAAAATTATGATGGTTATCTTACATTATTTAGTGTGACATAATATTTAATGTATAAATTAAGTTGTAATATAATCTTACATTTATTGAAACAATGGCTTAAAATAAAACAAAGAGAAATGGTAACTTGAAAATTAATATTGAAGATTTGATATTAAATAGTATAAAATAGGAGTAAACTGCAATAAATTTATTGTTATTTTAAAGCACAATATATTTTTTATCTACGTATCTTAACATCACAGTTTGTATTTAAACACATAGGGTAGATTATAGTTGTGTGTAAATAAATCTTACGAGACTTCGAAACTTTTCAAAGTCCAAGTTTGTTGATTCAGCAATTGGTTTCAATGCATCAGCAGTGGACGGTGGTCTGTTTAAATCCAATTCTATGTAGACCCTTTTGGTTTTGAGACTATCCAGAGCATCCATAAGACCTGGCCATTTGTTGTAATCTGAATTAGCTTCTACGTTAAATACTTTATTTAAATGAAGCGTAGCGTGCGCTGTACGATTTTCTCTGCACAATCTAAAATAAAAGGAGAAGAAAAATATGTAAAAATATATCAAACAGTTATTTAGATTCGAATAAAACCAATTACTCGATGACTTCGTTGAATGGAGCTGTGGATGTTTCATTGCCAAAGATGAACCACGAAAAGAATCCACGTTCATTTGTTATAGACGGACAATCCATTATTTTTGTTACAGTTTCATACATAGGTTCGTCATATAATGGTTTACAAATATTGACTTCACCGTTGCTGCTTAAAATCAAACCCACTAATGCCGCTGTCCAAAGTACTAAACTAGTCAATCTCATTGCGTTTACGCAGCTAAATTTTTTTTTCAAAAAAAAAAAAAAAAAATTTACATAACTGCGTACAATTTTATTACATTATACCAATAGGAGAAATATATATTTTGTTTTTCTAATACTGTTTCTATATGGATTATTTAGAAAAATAATCTAAATTTTAAACATTAAAATGCGGTTGACATTTTACCGTTAGTAAAATCCATCATTAATCATTATTAAACATATATATTTCTATAAGACTTTGAAAAAGTTATTGGTAATAGTCAATAGTATTAAACTTTAATAAAAGTTGTATACATTAAAACAAAAGTCTTGTAGTTAATGTGGTATAAGTTATTTAATCGATTTACATTGTCTTTTATTTTATTCTGATTCGAGTTTTGTATTTTTGTATTTTGTATTAAATATATATTTAATATAAAATATTCAAACGGAACATAGTAAATATCATCGAATTTATCATAACGTATTAATTGACTTAATATGAAATTATTATTTCGTGTTTAAAACAATATATTTGACTTATGTGCACTGTACAACATAAAATCAAACCTATATAATACGATTATTTGTTTTAGATTTAAAGACTAATTTTAAGTTATCTTACCTAAAAAAGTAGCATTTAGCCCAAGTTGTATGCGAACAATAATTTACCACAATACTGCATGCTAATAAAATCCAAACTAAAAGTGCAGCGATTGCTATTCCTATACGGTACTCATAAAATTAGTTTCAATTAAACAGAGAGTACATATTATATTATAAATATATTATATGTAAATATTAATAGCTTACCAATACTTATGGACCACCTATACACTTCTATTTGTTTCAAGTGATTTAAGTAATTGCTAGCTAATTCTTTTATGTCCATTAATTTTGAAATAAGTTTACGTGTATGACTTTCATAAGGATATATTGAAAATTCTAATTGACGTCTGCGATCCATTAAAGCTTGTTTTATACCTTAATAATGATAACAAAAAAATTATATCTATTGAAATATGTTATTATAAATTATAATCATTTTAGTTAGCCGTTAGGTATAATAAAACGATATCAGTGTTTCTTATCCATTTTTTGATAAATTTTTACAAAATATTAAAATTATTTATTTAAAAAATATGTATATTATATACCAAAATAAGCATTATTTTTTCATATGTAAAACGTAATTAGTAGATGCTCAAATATTCAAACGCATACATACATATTTTATAAGAAACAATTTGTTTAGAACTTCAAAATCCTTATTAATTTACAACTTTAATGATGGTTTATAAATTTAAGTAAGTATTTAAGGCGATAAAGCAAATAATATAAAGACATTTCACATTTGGTACAATTTAAAAATTCAAGTTAAATAAAATTTCCTTTTACTTATCAAAAATTTGAAAATAACTTACTTCTATGAAAAACTAAAATGTTACTAGACTATTTATTATTTATCAATGATTTATTCAACGAAAACATTTAAAGAATATATTTAGAGCTAGGTAAGTAATATAAACATCGTATATCAATATCTTATTTTATCCTTGTACATTCTATTATATTTAATTAATATAATTATTACAAAATACAAAACATTCATAGTATAAGAGAAAATATAGTTATGGTCAATATATATAGTGATTAATAGTTGAAAGGAAAACATTTACTTTTAATTTTCGATACCTATTCAAGAACTTTATATATCCAGTTAGGGATGTTGAAACTAATCACCTACATTGTTGAGACTGTGTTCGATGGTTATATAAGAAGTCATAATGGTTATTAAAAGTTATATTAGTATACGATAATTTTACTTACGCCATCTTTCTTTTTCCGTCTGTTCATTTAAAGCTTTTGGAATGTTTGCACTTTCAGCCGATGTCAACGGTAGACTCGATAGTCCGTCGTTTTCTACTTCTAAAACGCTTGTGACTACATTTATTAAATCATCCTGTGAATAATAAATAATAAACAGTAAAAACTATATTACGTAATAACGTCTACGATGTATTATTACACACCAAATATGTATAATTCTCTGGTTGCAACTTGTTACCGGAAATCATATCACACATGACAGATACTTCAAGAGGGCATCGTTCAGGTACCATTTGAAGTTCAATATTTGATTCGATTATTTTATTGTTGTATTTAATAATGTCTTCCCTTACTAATTCAGCTTGGGAAATTACATCCTTTGCTTTTGGAAATATTTTCTGAAAGTCTAAAATACAAATATTCAAACATAATTTATACAGATTGTCAAATATTGTATGAATAACAGTCAATCATCACCTTGAACTACTCTAGAAACATTAGTTCTGGAACCAAATCTATGACTAGGGCCGTATATTTCATTTTCGATCGGTCCTCCCAATTGTTCTGATATGTCTAAAACGAAATAAACCAATAAAAAAAAAAAAAAAACAAAACAAAACAAACTGTTATTGATTTTTATACTTGTATAATATTTAAGTTTATGTTGGATATAAAATTATGTATCGGTTTATGTGACTTTATTATTATAAAGCTGTTTAGAAGGCCTATTTTCCTTATCAAGATTTTTTTCAAAGAGTATAAAGCTCGTAAATAATTACATTCCTGGTTCATTTTCTTCATGGTCTACTTATGTTGGTTGGTTAAGTACGAATCCTTGTTATGGAGAAACTACACAATTAAATCAAAAGAACGATTTGTAGACCACTAAATAACTGCAGGAGAACGCAGATTATAAACAAATTAAATTAACATATAAATATAAACAGTAGACGTATTTCATGTTTTTGAGTGTTCGCCTCATTAAGTATACGCCAATCGTTAATCTTTTACGCTTTGTATTTTGTTTACGGACTATGTATTGTTTTATTATATAAGCAAATGATTTTTTTTTTTATATATTTTTTGACATACGACATTTTATTTTTTAACTTACTGACTAAAAATTTATAAGGAATTTTTATACATAAAAAAAATTCTTTGGATCAGCGACTGTCAACTATTTTATTTCAAATTACAATCTAATATTAACATAATTTAAATTATTAGGTAACTGGTAATTTACAATAGTGTAATATTTTACACTTAAATCACTTTAACAATGTTCAATGAGAAAAAAATATCCACTTTTTTTAACTTAAATGCAATTTAAAAAATGATAATAATAGTTTTTATGAAATATGGGTACTGTAGTTACTAGTTATGTTAAATTGTGTTAATATAAAAAGTTCTTTTTATACTTTTTATAGAGCATGTAATACTAAATACATAGTGTTTATTTTAATACCTACTATTATAGCCATATTTATCGATTTATCAAATAAATAAAGTAAAGAGATGTGATTAGGAAGACATTTTTAGCATCCTCGTCTTGTTTAATTTTTAAATGATTTAAATCAATAAAATATTTGTTGTTTATTTAATTTATGTACCAAATGAAATTTTCAGGAAATAAATAACTAATTTTAATATTCAATAAAAAATATATAGGTATATTTAGATCAATTAAAAATTGAAAATTTAACTTATATTATAAAAAGAAATCGTTGTAATTATATTACGACGTGTTAACTATAAAAAATCGGAGGAATATCATAAAATGTATTTAAAATGTTTAATACAATGTTTTTATAATGTTTGAAAAAAAGAATTGAAATAAATATAATATTTTTATAGAAATAATAACTTATTTGTTCTAAATCGCACGATCAAACATCATTTTAAATGTGGAAAAAATATTATCGATAATTATTTACTATGATTTTCTAACGTGAATTTTCATAGAATACTTATTTGAAAAAAAATATGTCCAACGATTCATCATCAAACTAAAATATTTTATTTTTATTGATATTATTTACTTGTTATATTTTTTATATCTTATGATCTGATAATATATATATTTTTTTTACTTAAGGTGTAATTAAAAAAAAATATACTCAAATCAATTTTATGGTGGTTCAGTTGATTTTTAATACACTCCTTGAGATTTAATGAGAAATATTCGCAAATATTACTGTAGTGATACTATTGTTAATGACTTCAGCTTACACTCATTTTTAGAAAAAGGCGACGAAAATTTCCACATGACCTACTTAATCGAAAGATATATACATACCTACGCGCACACACACACACACACACGCACATACACACAAACACACACACACACATATATATATATATATATATATATATATACATTTATACTGTTAGAGTCGTCTATGAAGTACAAGTACGTTTCAAAATCTGTGAAATAATTTACTTTTTTTTCAAATTGTATTTTAATTGCTATCTTATATATTATACAATTTTAATTTTTAAATGAATTTGCTTATCAATAACTTCATATTTATTATATTTTATTTACTAAAATTAATTTGTAACGATTATTACAAATATATACATATACATATATATATATATTAATTAAAAATAATCGTTTTCTATTAACGAAATGCAAATAAGTTTCAATCAATAGCTTACAAAATCAACAAATTAAGTAACCAGGAATTTAAAAGTTGCAGTTTAGTAATTGATCATAAAGAGAAAATGGAAAAAAATGAAAGCTACTTATTAAACATAGCGCGTTTTATTATCAAAGGGTTATAAAACTGAAAAGTCGTAAAATATATAAGTCGAGTGAAAAAACTTACTTTTAATATTGAATCTGTTCTAGATGATAGATTAGAGGGGGGAAGAATACACAATTGAGATGGGTAATTTTATTTTATTCTCTTCAATCATATATATCTTATAAAATTGACTGTAGAAATAATTAGAAGTCACGTCAAAGTTCATTCATCTTGCAGATTATCTTTCTAAGTTATTTCTAAAATTTATACTCGAATTGGAATTAACATTGACTGAAATGAAATTGAATGTCGAGAAAAACAAAAATGAATACTTGGAATAACAATGCAAACTCAAGTTAAAATTATAAGCTTAATATTTTAATTTTATTTAAATAAATATGCATATGGATACAATTGTATTTGATAAAAAAAATTTATAAAATTTAAAAAAATTACAAATTTATTTTTATTCAAAATGTTGCCAATGTTTGTTTGAGTATGCGTGATATGCTTTTGTGTAAATGTAAACAATTATTATACTAGTCTGTAATACTGTAATTTAATCAGAAATATTTCTATGACTTGCGATTTATTAAAATAATAGGCTATTTATATCATAAAAGAAATTTATAACTTTATATCCACTAAACACTGGTATATTAAGTGATTTGAGCACCGGAATTATACCAATTTATAAATACAAAATATAAGCAATAAGTAGTAATTATTATAAAATTAGTCTAATTTACACCTATTGGATTATGTTTACAATTTGTGTATTGATTACTGCTTATTATTGAGTATTAAAATTGTAATTTTATTTTTGAGATAAGAAATTTAGTAACGTAAACAAATTCAAAATTGAAATTAAAATCCGAAAAGTAGGTTGATAATTTATTTTTAAATTGACTAAAAAATTAACGGGTTTCAAGGACCTTTACATAATTAATAATTATTACTGCAAAAGAATAGTAATATTGTTTTAAGTAGTTTAAAACTAAATAAATCATCTTCGTAAAAATGATGAAGCTTATTAATTTTAATTAATATTACTTTTATAACTGATTAGTTGTCAACTACATCTAAAATGTATAAATGATCTTTCATTATTTACTTGAATATTTAAAAAAATATTTATACAACATTTAAGATTTTCTTTTTATTTTCTACAGTTTATTGTTTTGTGTTAATGATTTAAATAACTCTATTATGCCTATTATAAAAAGAATGTATTATTATTTATATTTTTAATAAATATAATAAATAATATACAATTAATTTTTTATATAAATAATTTTATTTTATATTTATTTGTGTTACTAGTGTTACTACTATTTTTAATATTAATTACTATCTTTTTAATGATATTTATTTAGTTAAGATTTTCACAAAAAAATTAAGAATAATATTAGTTTTTGATCATTCTTTAACGTATTATTACACTTACAAAATTTATAATTTAATTAAGTAGTTATAATTTGTACCTATTATTATTGAACTAAAAATATAATATGAATTATTATATTAGAATATTGGCTAATGACATTATACCGTCTAATTTTGAGAAAATCGCATCTGTCGTCGAATCCATTGATCCGATGGTTATGGTCCTGATTTGTTTTTGAGTGATGGAAAACATATCCACCAAGTCACCGACGCCAAACTCTATTAAGTCTCCAACACTTGACACAGCAGATCCCATTGTCTCGTTTGTTACTAATAATCCGCAAGCACCAGCCCTGAATATGTACTTATATTTTAATTTATTATAATAACTAATTATGGTATTAATATTGGAAATTTCTAACGAACTAAGGGACATAAATACAATTAAATTGCACCATCCAATTATAGAGTATAAATGAGTATATTCATACAAAGCCTTCAAAGCAGTTAAACTCATTACGTGAACTTTATAACGGTCGTATATTTTTTCCCGGACACGAAATATTTACACCATAAATCCGGTTCCCCATTTAATGTACATTCTTATAACGCCAAGTATTTAAAAGGTGGAATTCCTGTTTCCAATAATACACGACATTTCTAACACTCACTATAAGATAGTACAGAATAAAATAAACTTAAAATTTAATATTGAGTATATAATATTTTCTACAAAGAAATATTTTGTGATAAATATGAAAATTATAATTCATAAAACACGTCAACTTTAAAAGTAGGTTCTAATAAATGAGAATGATATTTTCCACATTTACTAACAATAATATTGTATAAATATGTACAGCTAATGTTTCAATGTTATTCATGTATTAATAAATAGTTAATCCATTTACACGAAAACAGTTTCAAATCATTAGGATCTCATATTAAATGTTTTAGATACAATTTAGTCATTTTTCATGAAAGATTTTTAACGTAGAAATAATATTGAAAAGAAATCTTAAATCAATATTTTATTTTAGAGTGATTTTGTTTTGTTTATAAAGTTATAAAATCTTGAAGCACTTTTACTTTATTAAAACAATTTATTCAATATAAATATATTATTGTAACTATTACTAAGATAAAACAAGACAATTGGAGTGACTGTAAGCCAAATAAATAAAAATTAAATTAAATTTTTTAATTAATTGAACCAAGTTTGTAAGTTGTACAATCCTAAAACATTTATTATAAGAACATGTATACAAATTTTTATGATTTATTGATTGATCTTTATTCTAAATATTTATTATTTGAATCAAACTATTCATTGCCGATTAGTGTAAATTATAATAGGAATTAAATTAAATTATTTTAGTGTATTGTATGTAATACGAGTACCTATTATAATGTTATAATTGATGATTCAAGTAAATAATATAATATTATGTTATTAGATACAAATATAAAATGTACATAGAAATTTAATATTAATATACCTAATCGAAATAAATAAATTAATGGGAAATAATTTTTATGATGCTTATACTGATGAAATCATTTAAAATGTGTCATATATTATTTTTTAATAGTTTTTTAATTATTATAGAAAGTATTAAAAAAAAGTCATTTATTAGTGATATTTTTATCCATGAAATTTTAGTATAGTAAATCACGGCATCGTTTTATTTTGAGACAACGCGATGGAGAGAATTTCCAGGCATATATTATAAGCTGACATAACTCTACAAGCAGATTTTGGTGATTTAAGAGTGAGGGGAGTGGTATAGACATATAAACGGGTAGCTGTGTCAATATTTTCCTCAATAATATACAACGGATTTTCTGTAATTTTCAGGAAGACTTCTGAGAAATTCCTAAAATGGAAATCTTGGATATTACACACAAACACAGTTCCGCTTTTACAGTGAAATTGACTGTAAAATACTTTTATATTTTAAACAGATAAAAGCCGGGTTCTTGAAAGGCATATTTTTTAATTTTTTTTTTTTTTTTTGAGGGGCGGTGATCACATAAAGTCAATATTATTTTTGTGTTACCAAAAAAACAGTTATCCATGCTACAATATCATAATATTGATACGCTAGTGTTTTCCACTGTATTTAAGTTCTATGTTTACCCACTATAGTCACTATGCACAGCCGTAACTACCGTAAATTATGCACAGCACTGGGACTAACGGGGGTTTTAAATAAGTAATTATTTTACACTTAAACTATGATATAGAAGCGTGGTGGTAAAACCTGTCGTAGAAGCGAATCGTTTACTTAAAATAGTGGAATAACAAAATACTGCATGTACGTATAATAGGTAGGTAACAGTCTTTAGATCACTATAATACTGAAGATTATTGTCATTAATATTTTATGAAAACTTGATTTATTATTTTGAAAATCTATTAGACATATATGTGCGGCAGTGCTTATAGTGAGTAATCGATTTACCAACAAACAAATTTATTTTTCGGGGAAAAAAAACAAAAGAAATGATTTACAAAATGAGACATAATTCGTTGCTTTCTTGAGATGAAACGCATTCGTCGATTATCGTTAATTAATACAGTTACACTAATAACACCGTTTACAAAATTAATGAAAGAGTACTTAATTTGTGTTTAAATGAATGATTTATTATGGACAGATAGAAACCAGTATCATATGGATACGTAAGTCTTTTGGTTACCACATTTCATAGACTACCTATTATAAAATTTTATTGGGTTGAATTAAAATTTTTTTTCATTGATTTTTGAGTTCTCGTATTAGAGTTTAGATAAAAAAAAAATTTTCAATAGATATTAGTGATATGACATTCAAAAGTCTGCCCAATAAAGTTAATTAACTGTTAAATTTTAAATGTTTTTATTAATTAACCATTGTTGGTAAACATATAGACTATAGTTATTGGTGGTAAGTAAACTCATTATTTTATAGTAAAATAAACCGAGACTAATTAATTTTTTTTTTTATTTAGTAACAATAATAAAATAATTATAAATTATAATTTTTTTTTTGTGATAAATATGATTGTTAACGTCTTTTATAATATATTATATTATATTTATATAGGTTTTATTAAGCAATTTAAAACTATAAATTTTTAATGAAAAAAGAAAAACTCTATACCAATTACCAATATAGTTTGTGGTTTTTTTTCAAATAACTTGGAAAGTATTGTGAATGTTCATGTATGGTCTCTCTAAAGTACCATCTGTGTACAGTTTTAAAATCTGTTGAGGGATCGTAATTTTGAGTTTTTTCGTTATAAAATCGTGACCGAAAAATACAAAACTAAAAATTAAATATATGATATAATATTATATATTAGTTTGCTTTGCTCCATAATAGCAATAATTACCCGTACTTTTCGACAAACATTTATTGACACAATCAAATATTAAATGTCATAAACAAACATTAATTGTTACAAACAAAAATTATCCATTCGTTTTGTTCACGGGTGTCGTACTCACCCTAACATAAGTAGAAGCATTTGAATGGCAACGACCAGCACACCCTTTTTGCAACCCGACTCCCAGCCAGTGTCTCCTAACCACTTAGCCTCTTTGTACCGCCTCTGCCAATAAACGCCGTATCTTGCTAGTATTAAACCGCAGAATATCATTAAGGCGCAGACCACAGCCAGTGGCCATTCATACGGCAGTATCTAGAAAATGTCATAAAATATCATTGTTAATATTTGAAAATTTGATTACTTACTTTCGAGAACAAAATTATCGATCTGTTTTAATCGTAATATGTATTTTAATATATAACACGAAACCATAAAACAAATGTAGAGGTATTCGATTGACATATATGAGCTCGACTGACCGCGGAAACGGGAATCGATAATTTTTTTAAACTGTCGTCGGTAGAAAAATTATATGAAGAGTATTGTTTACCTACGTCTTTTACGATGGGTTCACTGTGTACATTTTATAATCATTTTCATCAGCTACGGAGTTATTTGTAAAATTATGTTTGAGGATATTAAATAATATTGATAAATAATAGTAAATAATTACAAAATTATATATGACTTAATATTAGATTGTATAACTGCTGGGCCACGCTATCGTATTGAATATACTCTTAGTATGATTGGAGTTAAGCTATTTGTACTTTTATGGGTTCCAGTTTAGATTTATATTACTTTTTAGTGTATTTGTTATTAAAAAAAAAAAAATTATTTTGAATTCTGAGTATTATTTCTAAACATTTAAATAATATTATAAGCTTTACACAATATTTTTTTAACATATTACATTATTCTAATAGATATATATTAATTTAATTATTTTAGTAATTAACACTGAATATATTTAAAACTTAAAAAGTAAATTATTTCTTTTGCAATAAGTTTGTTACATTTTTTAACTTAAATTATTATACCTGTAAAAGTTTTGGTTTTCATAGATTCACCAGGGAATACTTTTTTTCGTCCTAAAAGATTTTTTAATTTTTTTTTAAATAACCTCCGAAAAGTTAGCTCATATTTTTAATAGCAATAATCATTAATCATTATACTTTAATAAGACACTTTTTATTTCAATATAAATATTTAAATTTTTAATATTTCAATAATTTAGTTTTAAAAAATTTTCAGCTTAATCATTTATATGTTCAATACATCAATTATTTATTGAACTAACTTAATACATAAAAATAATAGCAAACAATAAATATTGTTAACAATACAATAGTGAATCCATAAAATTATTTCAATGTACACTTTTATTATAGTCTTCAAATATTGGATAAGTTGAGTATTGTTTTTTATCAACATTAGCTAAATAAAGATTTACACAAAACTATTTATTTAAACAAAATGGTTTACAAATGAAATAAAATATTTGAAATATATTGCTTTTCAAATCATTTTTTTATTTTTCTGTACATCAAAAGAAAAAAAAATCACGATATCTCTATTTTTTTTTTACGTCAAATTTATAAGTTCCAATTTTTATAAAATTAAAACTCTTTTTTACATTATTTATACTTTCATGTGAAACTAAATCATTAGTTTTAAATATTATACGTAACTATTATATTCACTATTCATTTATTTACTTCTCATAGAGAATTTTACAAACAAAAATGTAAAAATTCTTAGAAGGCATTAATCCTTAACCAATAAACGTTAAAATATATTAATACTTTCCATGTTACGTTACATATTTTATAGTTGTACGAACTAAAATTTATATTTGTTAAAAGGTTTATTTATAAAATGGTAAAAAAAAGTTTTGAATATCTCAGATTGTGAGAATAACTAATTCTAATGGTTCGTGCTTATAAAATTTTTCATCTCAAGCAATAGTATAATTCAGTTAAAATGTTTTAATGTTTTATCTTGGATTTGTTACATTTTTTAAAGTACTGTTAATACTAAAGCTATACTAAGGTTGATATTATTGGTTTTTTTTTTTTTTGGTTTTCGTGACAAGTGTTTAAATTTGATTTTAGTTTTAGAAAGTAAAACTTAAATTGTCTAAAGTTTTTAAAACTGCTAAACATAATTTCGTGACCGACAATAAAATCATCAAGGTTTATTTCAAATCAAAGCTTTGGTTTGATCGCTACTTGTCAATTCAAACTTAATTTAAAATTACCATTGGAAAGTGTGTTTGTAAAATCAATTCATTTATTTTTAAATTCTAAAGACCGTCAGATCGTGAAGCTAAAACGTAGGTTAGAGTTCTGAAGTTTTTTAGTGCTTCTAATATTAAATTCTTTTGAATTTCACTAACTGTAGACGTTGTTAATATATATTGACAGCAAGCAAGAGTTCAACTATGAACAACATTGATTATTCTTCATACTAAAATCTTGTGTTCCCTTTTCATAATCTCGATCAAAAGAATCTTTTGAGGCGGTAAACTTACAAATGCACAGTTAGGAACAAAATGTTTTAATTTATTTAGTCGTAATCACGCATCTATAAATCAAGAGTATTCGCGTATTTGTAATTATCTGCGACCAATGACATATTCATGGAGGAGGGAGTATTTTAAACTTACAATATTATAAACTCAAAAAGTATAGATGGATTTGTTCGTTGTATAAATAAATACCCCCCTAACATCATTATTATGAGTTATTACTTATTACATATAAATATTAAATTAATTAAACTATTAATTTATCATGATATAGGAATTTTAAATAAATAAATTAGGTTATAATATTATAATACATTAATACATTTAACGTTATATCTTGTATAGTTGTGTTGTGTTATGTTTTATTTTTAATTTAGAATTTAAAATTTGTACTATCAGCAAATATTTTTTTCAAGTGGTTGCGGTAACCGTGACCCGTGGGAGAGCAAGGTATTGTGAATGTCATCTTAGTAAGGTTTTGTACTGAATTGATTATTTTTATATAAATAATTCATTGAAATATTAATGTAATCTAGAACCCATAGCTAGTTTTAATCGTTTTCAGATAAAGACTCAGCGAAATTTATATAGGTAAATGATATGAACAATACCTAACCTAACCTAATCTAGTCAACATTTGACGATTTCGTTATGATATACATTTTTTCAAAGGAGGATGTAAAATACCACCTATTATTGGAATAACCAAGAAAATAAGCCTTTGTCTTCGATTTTATTTAATAAAGAAAAAACACAAGCCATTATCTTATAAAAATTAATGCAAATGCTCAATATATTGATTTTTATTTTATTAAAATGTATGTATTTCTTATAAGGGTTTTTGGTTTTCAACTGCTCTCGGACAATTACGTCACAACCAATTGTCATAACTTTTGCTCCTATTAGTTCTTTTCAGGTCGGAGTTTCGAATCATTAACATTTTTAATATTGCATTGTTGTTCCCTATAATGATATTCAAGGAGGGACGGCAATGTAATGTACATAATTATTTTTACAATAGTTTATTATCCCTTTTTGAAACAAAAAAATTCTTTAAAAGCATAGATTCTATTCTGCGATTTGGTTATAGTTAAAATAAATTACTGTTTGTGTTGTCTGTAATGTTTCGTATAATAAATGCAGACTATTGGTCAGGTTATTTATCATATAAAGTATATCATACAAATCCACGTCTTTAGTAAAAATAAATTTTTCGTATAATATAACCAACGATGGTTTATTTTATACTCTCAACGATTTATTACCTTTGCCCTTATTATTATTAGAGCTAAATGGCTAAATACTGCCCAAATGCTCATCAGTATTATTCAAGTTTAAAATTATGGTTGAAAATTTTAAAAGTATACCAACTACTGAGTAACCGTAAACAATAGATGATCTATTGGGAATAATGATAATTATTGAAGACCAATGAAGTACTTTCGCAATCGTTTTATGTAATATAAAATTGATTTAGATTCTAGAATAATCTTAAACAAACAACCAAAATACTGAAAATATATTTTAATTGATAATTTAATTTATATTTGATGCCAATATTATACAATTTTATCAAATTAATTAATTAAATAATAATTGTACACCAATATAGCATTGAATTATTTTTTAATAATTATAAATTACTAACTAAATGAAAACTATAAAAAAAGTATTAAATGTGAATCTACATACCAAAAAATAACTTATAATTTCAAAAATAAATAATTATTGTTAGAAAACTATTATAATATATTATAATTATGGGTTCATAATGTAAAAATATATTGTTATGAACATAAACTTATTTTATGAGTAAAGCATAATTTAAATTACCTAGTAAAATAAATGTTTGATCTGAAAATAATTATGTACTAATGATCTAGATTTATATAATTAATTTGATTGGGTAGATTTATTAGATGTATCATTATGTAAAAACGTTCATCGATTTATATATACTTATTTATCAAAAAATATGATATTAACTACTAAGTATAGCAACAAAGCTTTTATGAACTACAACATTTTATCACGTTTTCCTCGATTAACAGTCGTATATGGGGTCATAAAAATGACACCGGCATTTTATACTCTTAGTTGGTATAGTGAAATAAACAAAATATATTATGGGTACGTATATAATGTATTATAGTGCAGAAAGATCGATAAAATCTGAAAACATTTAAAAAAAAGTTTCGATAGAAAACGAAAGTACTAATAGTTAGGTGTAATAATGAAAATAGTAAGTCTGATTGATTAAAATTTTACTGACTATTATTTTTTTTTGTAAAATGTTCTATTTTTTTGAATACAATGGTAATAGAAATTTTATAGAACCACCACATCTGAGGGTTTAAATTGTATAATATGTATAAAAAATAAATGTGCCCATTCTTTTTCAGTCACGCGTTTTTTTTTTTTTTTATGTTAGCGTAGGTATACACACAGCACAAAGGTGTTTATTATAATGTGTAATTTTGCACGTGCAGTATAAAATGTAAGATGTAAATACAGAGTGGTATAAATGATTCTGTTCGAACTTCGTCCATTCGTATGTACTAGGTAGAACCATAGATTAAATATATAATATAATAATAATAATAATATAATAATATAATATAATATATTATAATATATTTAATCTATGGTAGAACGTAGATAACGGATACACAATGTAATTCAATTAATTGTCCACGCTCATTATTTCGAAAAGTTTTAACTTAAACTTTTATACTTTCATCGTTATTAATTTTTTCTTATGTTTTTTACTTTTTTGAATAACAACACATTTTAATTTCATATTTCGCAGCACTACGTTATAAAAATATTTATTTTGAATGTGTAGCTTAATTAGTTATAACTTACAGTTATAAGTTATAAGAATTTAAAGTTTAAATGCGCAGAATAGTGTCCCAACATTTTTTTGAGTACTTCTATGCCATTGTTTATCGCTCATCTAAACTTTAAATATTAACTCATTAACTATTCTATTATAAAATTTGAACTTTATAATAATTATTATAATTACCCTGGAAAAATTTTGTTGCTGAATATGAGATTTAAAATGTTCATATTGTCAATTTTAATTCAAAAAAATAAAAACTTAAAACATGATAACAATTAAAAAATTAAAAAATTATTTATTTATATTTTCAAAAATATTATTTTAAAATGAAATTACATCATGCCAAAATTATATTTTCAAAAAACTTAAATCACAGAATTAATGACTCTAGATACTTAAATGGATTCCATTGTAAATATAGTTATATGCTGTGTATGTGCGATCAATTTTAAACTTTATAATATACTATATAGCGCGCTAAGCTTAAAGGAGAACAACTCAGATTAAAAACAAATTCTATTGTGGTTTTCTGTCATATATTGTATAAGAAGTTCGTGTTTGTGATGTACTTGAACTTTTGGATCTGATTTTCTGGACCACTATGTTTATTGCATACTACATACAATATTATATAAAATATGCACATACAAATCGTCTTAATACCTTTTAAACCATTGTTACTGAGACACATAATAAAAAAAGTTATTATTGACTCGAACTCAAACAAATTAAAATATAATATATCACATATGCCTGCTAACGAAATCGAAATAATAAGTCGATTTCAAATTTCAATGCACATTATATGTTCGGAAAAAAAGGGAAAAAAATTGTAATGTCATCAGTTCTTTCATACATTTAAGAGTGTGTGTAGGGTGGAATTTTACAGTCGTAATATTTTTTGTAATTTAAAGACTTGCTTTGAAATTGACTATAATATATGTATATACTATAAAGTATGTTATTTAATTGGAGTAATACTTTCCCCTCTCTAAAAAATGTTTACCTTGATTTAATTGTGTCTATATGCCTGCTATCGTCATGCTACCCCATCATTTACACTCCCAATAAATCAATATCTTTTTCACTTAACTTATTAATTTATAGGAACTAATAAATGACATAATAATTGTATACGCGTTATTTTCGTTACTTTTTTCGCCACGACATCCCATTCGTAAGGGTTGCTAAAGAGATCAAGAATGAGTTCAGCGGGTACGCTGTGCCACATGATCAAGTCTTCGGCCACGCTAATGAACCGGAGCCCGACGTCGCCCACCACGATTCCGACTCCAAACAGGTCGATCGCGGCCGCGGTCCTAGAACCTGCGCCGCCGTCAGACTTCGACGTCTGTTGGTCTAGTTTGACGTTCTCACCGAACTTGGCACTGGGGAAAACTCCGATCTGTTTGAAGGCTACTGGTCCAGCAGATATATTTGATGACGAGGAGGATTGTCTCACGGTGGTACGGCTAGCGTACGTGAGATCCATCATTCCCGGTTTACGGACGGCGAATAGGAACTCAGTAATGTGGGGCGCTGACGAAGTCTCGTTGTCGGTAGGTGATGACGATGACGTCCGGTTTTCCGCAAATAACGTCGACGATAAAATCGTCGTTTCGTTGGCGGGTGGTGACGACGACCAAAAAATCGGATTTTCAATTTGTGGCGGTAAAGGTGACAAGGACGTCAGGTTTTCGGTGTCCAACGTCGGCGACCAAGATGTCGGGGTTTCGGTAGGCGGTGACAAAGACGTTATGCCTATGTCGGTAGTGAGCCGAGGTTCGGTGGTAGTAGCCACCGCTGGCCGTGTATTGCACAGATGCGTAACGTTTACGGTAACCATCGCGGCAGTCGTCACAGTCGTCATCGTCAGTAAACATGACGTCGCGCAGTAGATGTACGGCAAAATCGATGGAGGCCGTTGCATCGTGACTCACAATGTATAGTATGATTAAGAGCGATGTATTTTATCAAACGTGATTTAGTCCTATATAAAAGTATATAACGTTTACATCTAAGAATTTATTGCCGCGTACACGTACGTACGGTGTACGACATAATAATAATATATAGGTAGATATTGGGCATAGACGCACACACGCACTTGTGCCAAGCCGGAAACGACTGGCCACCGTGGCGGATTATTACGTCGGCTGATGCTCACCCGAGTTTTTAAAAGGTTTCCCGTGTACGCAAGGATCAACGGACCGCATAACTACGGCGGAAAACCTGCACCGACCGCCACCACCGGTGCACCCGCTTGTAGTTCGACCCCACGCGACCGCACGCCACTGGCATTTATGTGCTCGGCCGAGACCGCCTTATGTATTATACAGAATGATTCACCAATCGTGTTATCATGTTCACTCGTCTCTTTTTCTTTAATAATGCAGTTATTTGAAATCTGATTTTTAGAACTAAGTGTAGTTTTAAGTTTAAAATCATATTTTAAAATTCTTCAGATTTGATGTACTACTTAATGAGTATCCTGTTGAGATCAAACTTCTATTTTTCAAATAACAACTCCTTTTATCCATTTTAAATTGTTTATTAGACATGAGAATAATGACGTATTAAAATCAAAATTTAAATGAATGTAATTTTTGAGATATTTCACTCTTTATACTAAGGACAGTATAGGTTCACAATAATGAGTTTGGAATTAAAAGAGGTATTTGAAAATTTTAGTAATTAACATCAATTTATCCGCATTTATTATTTTTAAAGATAATTTAAGTATAACAAATACTTGATTAAATATTATAACTATTTTATATTTTTATAAAAGCATTTTTAAGGATTATTAATTATAGTATAAATATTTAAGAACCGAAGAAACTATACTCGTTTAAATTTTGAATAAGACACATCAAAATTTCAAAAACTTATTGCAGTAACAAAATGAAGGAAGGATCCTCGTTGAAAATAGAAGTTTAGATCACCAGAAAACATTTCTTCAGTAGCTTAAAAAAATCTCAAGAATTTTAAATTATGGCCTTTAAGTAAATTTAAAAATTTTAATAAATTCATTACCTATTATATGAAAAAAATAATTGGATATTCATACTTTATTTATCACTCTGTATACACATATACACATACGTAGCAGAGCTCAATAGTATCTATGTATATATCTATTTACTTACGTATATAATAATATATATTGGTGTTTCCAATAAATATAGAGTATGCCAAACGCCCATACACGATGTGAATAAAATGTTTAATAATTTTATATCTATAACCGTGATTTTATGTATGTGGCCCCCGACTCACCATCTGCTTTCTCGACATTACGATGAATGACGTGCTTAAAGATTAAAGACTCGTTATTTTTACTGATGCGCCGATTTTTCTCGCCCTGCAAGTGTGACTAAATATATGACGTTATAAATAGTGATTTGTAAACATATCATTATTGTTGTATTTATATAGGTAAAAATAAATATGTAAGTGGGTAATAGTACTTCAGATTATTGTAATGACAAATGCCGGTTCATCTTTATAAATTAAATAATATAGATACATTATATGTACAAAATGAACTTTTCTCTTACATTTACTTTATATTTTATATTTGTGTATACCCACTGCAATTTTATTCCCGAAAACGATAAGTCGAAATGGTCTATCCCTCTTAAGACAAATGACAAAATAACAATAACGAATACTCACACTATCGAAAAATTATTGTATTTTCATTTTACGCACTGCAGGTGAGCATACATTTCAACGGATTATGTAAATAAAAATGAAACGCATAACATTTGAGGCCTGCTACACTATAGACAACGTAATCGAATCTTTGAAAATACCAAAATTTACATAAATCGGGTGAGTAACACCGTTCTAAAACCTTTGAGCCACCACGTGCACATTAAATAATATCATATTTTCTCTGTACATGATATTGCTATTCAAATTTTAAACATGTCTAGTCTTTTCAAATATTTCTTTTAACTTTCTCAAATAAAGCTTTTAATTTTAACCACTTAATAATGAAACGTGTTAAAATGTTTAAATTCAGTTTGTCTATTGCTTCAATTTTTTATACTATGGAATCTATCTGCAGTTATTATAACCTACAATAAAGTGTATTCGGTACAATACAAAACGTATAATATGATTAATTTCACACGCGGTTATCTATTAGTAGTGGTTAATACGATTACGGTTGATTACGATTAAGCTAGATCACTGTTGATGAAATAGTCTAAGGACCATTGTTTTTATTATAACTTCGTTTTTGATTAAGAACGGTGAATATATAATTTAAGCTAGAAATCTATAGCAACGAATAGTAATATAACAAACGATTAATTATTTTCTATATTATTATAACTTATGTAGTAGGTACCTGCATCACCTATGTGCATAAGATCCAAGTTAATACATCAATGTTTTATTAAAATAAATAGAAAATTACAAAAATTACAATTAAACCGTCATATATAAAATTATGATTTATATTTTAACCCAAAATATGAACAGTCAATAGCGTGTCGTAGTCACACGCTAAGCAAAATAAAGGACAATGAAATACTAGAAATATACATTATAAACTAGAGATGTTAACGCGAGATGGTCTAATACAATATAATTTGTATATTGCATATAAAGTATACCGACATTAATGTCAAACAGGAAGTATTATATTCCCAATGACCATAAACACCATGCAATTTAAAAAACTACTATGGACTATTTTACAGCACTAATACATTACAATCATATAACCCAAACCCTTAAGCCCAGTCAAGTCGGTGAGCTTTATAAAAATATAGATTTGTGCATATTTTTTACTACTTAATAAGAATATAAATAATATAATAATTTCTTATTAAGATGGAAATGAAACGATTTAAAACTTTCATGAATATGAAATAAAAATAATATAATATGATTAATATGTAAGATACTAATAAAAAAAAAATCGTCTAACAGTATAGACCTTATAATGGTCTATACTCTATGTAATAATCAATATTCAATACGTAGTTATACACTTATTAGGCACGGGTTTAGACGATATAAAGCTTTATAAATCCTAATAAATATTATAATATTGTAATGCTCTAATTTATTTTATTTGACGTCCTTGGTTTTTACATATAAGAATATTTTAGTTTTTAGGTTTCACAGTATTAACTAGATATATCCATTGAATAAAAATTTTAGAAGGTGGAGTATCTTTATACATGAAAATACCTTTATGTTCGAGTTTTCAAATCTATGTTTTAAAATGGTCTATCATTATTTACCAATATTTTGTCAACATTATATTGTAGATATTTATAGCCGTATAGGTGCCGTTCTCAAGTGATACTTAATAAATCAGCAGAAAATTCATTTTTTTCAAACCATTAATATCAACATCATAAATTTAACCACGTTTACATTTAATATGTTATTAAAATTAAATATTAACTAATAACTATGATACAGGTATGATTTACCAATAAAATGTTTTTATTATTTATCTTGAGTCTAAAATTGTAAAATATGTATTGTTATTATTTTCAAATTAATTTTTTTGATACACTATAGATTGTACTACTAATTTATAAAATAATAATAATAATAATAATAATAATAAATATGAAGTGCTCTGTAGAGTCAGTGTGGATGTACAATGTACATACATGCATTAAATAAGGTGGATATATATATATATATATATAATAAATTTTTATTTATATATATAAATATATGAAAATACATGTCATTTGTTTCTATTTTTCTAATATGAAAAAGAAAAATAATAATAATTTTGTAATAATTTACCATTCTTGACCATGAACATCGATCAATTTACTAACCAAGATATCTTAGAAAGCATTTCAATTAAATTAAGTAAGTCTAAAAATATTTTATGATTTAATTAAAAAAGAATTAATTTATATTTTACAAGAGAATACTGAAGTACCCACAGGATTTTTTTTTACAAAATAGTTATTCAGTATCTAGTATAATTTATTATATCTTACATAGTAATGCAAAATGTTACAACTAACTTAAACATTTTATCAAGGAAGCAAGTAAATATTCATTTTACCTAAAAATAAATTTCCAATAAAACGAATCGTAGATATTATGTTGTAAAAGGTTTTAAAATATAGTAACTACGCATAAAAATGAATACAAGTAGGTAGGTATACTTTTCTAGAATACCACTATAAACTAATCCTGTTCAATTAATTAAGAAGCTGTTGGACATCTCAAAAATACATTGGCAACTGACAAGTTTGATATGTTTTAATTATTTATTTAGTTGTTAATTGTTGATTTGTACAATTTTACTATAAGTTAAAGCTATTTATACTTCATAAATATCATAAAAAATAATGCCCAAATATATTTGTATAGTATTTTTTATATTATAACAAATATTTCTCTAATTCAAAAAAATTAATTTAATATTATAATGGTATTTAATATATTTTAAAAACAAATCCATATCAAGAAAAACATTTATCTTTGTGTTTTTTAATTAAAAATCACGATAAAATGAGAAACAAATGAAAAGAATTCAAAAAAATTATCTTGAATAATATTGTTTCGGATTATTTAGACGTATACAGATTTTTTTTTTGGATTAGAGTCATCTGTATCAAAACACAAGATCTACATTTTTAATAACTACCTGAAGATAATACTAAATTATTAAAATTTCGAATAAAACTTGATCACTCAGGCGTTTTTTGACGATTTTTGACCCAGGTTTAAAACATAACCATAGAAATACAATTTACTTATATGTGTACACTTTATATGGATAATAAATGTGTATGCTATAAAAAAAGTTATATTTTAATGTTTGCACATAACGTAAATATAAAATGTTGAGACGATGACAGTAATACAGTATGCTTTAAATCATTTTTTAAATTACGTTACATTGACATTTTATAACTAGTAGCAAACGCCAAGTAATAGATAGAAGCACATAATATTATCTGGCATATGATTATAAATTAAGTGACCATAGGATCTAAGTATAAATTAATTACATTTTCGTTAAATTACCGCAATAAACTTTTGTATTAAATTCCATAACGTAATTCATTCAATGATATCACTATTTTTAATGTAATTTAAATCAAAAGTT